ATGGCTGAGTAGTATTCCTGTGTGTGTGTGTGTGTGTGTGTGTGTGTGTGTGTGTGTATAGAGAGAGAACATCTTTTTTATCCAATCATCTGTTGATGGACATTCAGGTTGCTTTCATGCCTTAGCTATTGCAAATATTCTGCCTCTTACACTATTGAGCAATTCTGACAATTAGAAAGTTCATCCTTTTACTTTCTCCCAATTGGTTCTAGTTCTGTTCTCTTGATCTTTGTGTTATTTTCCTAGAGCTGTCATAACATATCCACAAATTTGGTGGCTTAAAACAACAGAAATTTATTCCCGCACAGTTCTGGAGGCTAGACATCCAAAATCAAGATTGTCCACAAGGCTACCCTCCCTCCAAAGTCTCTGTGGGCAATCTGTTCTTTGCCTCTTTGGTGGCACCAGGCATTCCTTGGCTTGCTGCCGCATCACTCTGATCTCTGCCTCCATGGTCACATTGCCTTCACCTCTTCTCCATATGTCTCTTGTAAAGATTGCATTCATTAGGTTTAGGATGTGCCAAGATAATCCATTATGATCTCATCTCAAGGTCCTTATCTTAAATTACACCTGTCCAGACCTATTTTCTAAATAAGATCACACTCAGGTTCCAGGGACTCAGTTGTGGACCTCATTATCTTACAGAAGTGTGAAGTGGGCTGTTTGATAGCACCAAAGACTGAGTTTTAAGTATTACTTACTGGAAAAATTCTCCAAAATGTTTTGATCAAAACCACTTCAAAAATTTGTATCACACCAAAATCCTTTTCACCTATTTATATCTAGTTCTGCCTGTTTATAACTGGAAAGATGCCTCAGTACCCCCAAGCCTCCAGGGTTTTTCTTGTACCTGTTGTCATTGTTGTTGTTGTCGTCAAATAGTAAAGTGAGGTTCTTTCATAGGTTTATAGTGAATATTAAATGACAACATGCCGGCAAATCAGCACTCTGTCTGGCAAAATATCAAAGTGCTCAATAAATGTTAGCTGCTGTTATTATTATCACTTTTCTTCTTCTATTATAGTACTTTGAAGTTTTTAATGTGTAACCACTGACTCATCTGATTTAATAGTTATAATCCCACAGTCGGGTTGGTATTATGTCAGGAGACCTAGACTTGGCAAGATACTACCATAACTTTAGTTTAAGAATTAAATTTTATTTGCCTACTCTCTTCCCTCAAATGACTTGAAGCAATTAAAACACTACATATGGGAGGGAGGGTATAGCTCAAGTGGTAGAGCACATGCCTAGCATGCATGAGGTCCTGGGTTCAATCTCCAGTGCCTCCTCTAAAGAATAAATAAATAAATCTAATTACCTCCTCCCATCAAAAAAAAAAAGCAAATTAAAAAAAATACATATATAAAGTAGTAAATTGGGAAAATCAACCAAGTGAAAGGTAAGTATTTCCATCAACCATAATAGTTAATTCAATTCCATCAACTGAGTGTCATATTTGGCTCTTACCAAAATGTTAACAGTGGCTCTGGTTCTTTGGGATGGTGGGGTAATGGGTTAACTTTTTGATGTCTCTCCTTTCCCTATTTTTACTCTTCTGTACTTTATAACTTTTGCATAATTAATATGTACATATTATTTTCATAATCAGAAAGAAATTTCTTAACTGGACTTTGCCTTCTTGATAGTCAAGACAAGAAGTGAAAATCAGTCATTTGTATGGTAGAATCAGAAAGGAAGGACTGTGTCAATTCCTTTGGGAAAAATGACAGGTTTTCTAGGATTGTCTTTTAGTTGGAGCACTAATCAGTATAATGCACTTGGCCTCAGTGTAATTTCTCAGAAAATATGTTGACGATACCCACAGATGCTTCTTGCAGCTTTGATCAAAAAGAGCAGAAGCTGTAAACAATCTGGGACTGACTGTGTGATCCTTAGTCAGCTACTCCTAAAGATCACTGTGAAGCGAACCCAAGAGTGAGCAGAAAGGCGTAATTCCTGCATCTGTTTCATCAGCACTGAGACAGACAATGTGCCCAGAGCTGACTATAGTAGCTTGGAGTATCTGAGGATGAAAAATATGTATTTAAAGTTTTGCAGTCATATTGTGTATAGCGTAACTCCAGACATGATGAGCTATCTGGCCTAGATAGGTGGCCTTTAGCCTCTACCCACGTTAAATTAGGAGCATGAACACTTTAGCCTCAGAAGACAGTGACCCTACCAGAAGGTGTGAAGTCTATATCACTTCAACTTTATCACTGGCAACAGTGTCGCCTTTGATAAAGCACTGAAGGTCAAGAGCGTCATCTCCACTGGTCAAAGAAACTATTGCAAAGCTCTCTCCTATGTCTCCTGATCATGGTGATTCATTTTTGAATTCAAAAGTAAATCCTGTCTGATTATCCAAACTGCCAGTGCCTGATCTTTCTGTTACCTCCTTTCTACTATGACTTTTGTCAAGAGAATGATTGTATAAATCATTTTGACACCCGGCTTTGATGTAAGATTGAGAGCAGAGCACTGGGATTCTATTTCCATTGCTGAAGGTCTAGAGTCATGGAATTCAAGGATGTTAACTGAGGAAAGATTTTATTTGGAAACCAGAAGTAAATGTAGCAGAGCTGAATAAACTGTGAAAATCAAGTAGGTCATAGTGTCCTTGCTCAGGTGAGAGTCTACGCTCAAGGAACACTTAGTAGCAAAGTTGGAACTCATCTCCTTTTTTAAACTTGGAATTATGAGACTTCCAAGCACATGCAAAGGTAGAGAGAAGAGTATAAAGAATCTCCATTTCAGCAGTGACCCACACATGGCCAGTCTTATCCCCCACTTTCCAGATCCAAGACATCGTGCCATTAAATATGTAATGATCAAAGTATAAATTGAATTTTAATAAATACATCTCTAAATTTATTTCCCATTCATGACATTACTTCACGAAATTTCACAAGTTGTTTTTAAATACATGCAAGTAGGTTTATTCTGTCTGCCATTAAGTGTTACATTTCTCTAAGAGACGAATTTTTTCAGTGCCTCCCTCTGCTGCAATCTCTCCAGACCCTGAACAGTTGGGTGACTACCCACAGTGCTTGATAAAATGGTACCCACTGCAAGACACAGGCTGCTGTTCTGATTGCCATGGACACAACTAGTATAAATACACGTATAAAACAGTAAAGAGAAATGCAGTGTCATTCTCTAACCACTGTAGGGCCAGAAAATTCATAGACACTTCATTGGTATAAAAACCAGTTATCACGACTTCATCGAATACCTCTGTTTCATCTCAGCCCCCACACTTGTGAGATCACTTGCTTTCTTTCTCTTTCTCTTTTCACCACTTTTGAATTGTTCTCTCTGATATGCTTAGCTTCTGAAACTTGATGAGAGTGAGTGGAAATTCATTCAAGTCTACCCTTATAAGTGTTAGCTTCTTAAATGGTTTGGGGGTATTCTTGTTTTTGTTTCTAACCTGATATGTCTGGAAACTTTCCCTTCCCTACCCAAGAATGTGCTCACTTACTCCCTCGCCCTCACTCTCTCTTTCCCGTCAACATTCTCCCCTCAAAAAATACCTTTGCTGAAGACAATCAAAACTATTCTATCCAAGGGAAAGAGTTTTCCAAAATTTAAGCATCAGGTTAAAACTACATATTATCTATCAAACCAGTTGTTTACCTGTTCACTGCCAAGGAAGCTGGAGGTACATCAAAAACCAGTGATAGGAACAGCATTGAGCCTCACACAGAGGGAGGCAGTTCAGGGAAGTCTGGGGTTTCAGTAAAGCCCCATTGTCTTGAAGCTATATTTAAATTGAGAAAAGTTTTTCTTGGCTGAGCCAGCACCCTCAAGCAGATTCCATCATGCTGCATAAGAGTCTTTGGTCTGTAGCTATGTTGGGAATTCCTGTTGCCTGGTTCTCTCCTGTGTCCTGGTAAAGGATTGAGGTTTGTGTGATTTCAGCGAGCCATCTGACATGTTGAGCCCTGTTTTCTTATTTCTGAAATCTCTTCTGACTCTGACTTCTGACTCTTACTCAGTCTCTTACTGCGCCCCTCGGCACGCACGAGGAGACGCAGCCTTCCCAGGGGCACAGGTGCCAGTCAGTTCCGGACATGCTAGACCTCAAACTGTTGCTGACCTTTGTTTATACAAGATGTTGGCTTCCGATGACACTTTGGGGATAGGGCCCGGTCAAATCAAATACAACTTGGTAAGCGTAGGCTTCCCTTGAGGAATAGATTCTCTCTTTTCAAGGGATTTGTAAATTGAGGTTAGTCCTAAGACACAGTAGAGAAAAGTGTCTCCTTTCCCCAAGTGGTTCCAACCATGCATGGGCAGCCCCAGAACTGGCTTGGTCTCATAGAATGCACTGGGACAAGTGAAAAGGGGGAATCCAATTCTAGGCTGCCTTTAGGCTACATTTCACAAACACTGGTCCAGGCCAGTGCTACTCACCCATGAAGGTATCCATGTGCTTCCCTCCAACTTCTTCCCCATCAATGAGATTTTAATGCTTCTTACCTGAGAGCCATCTGGTTTATTAGTCAACACATTACTTAAGAGCGTTTAATTTAAGCCAGCATCTGACTTAATTTTATGTGAGCTATTTACGGGATTGTCTTTGATTTATAAGAAGGGAAACCAATACAAGTTAAGGGAATTACTACATACAAGCTAAACACCACCACCAGATCCAGGATCCTGGATTTGAAGTGTATCAGCCGAGCAGCTGCGTTTCAGTGCCTTTCTGCTGCTGGACTGTATTCAGAAAGTTGATGCTAAATAGAAAAGACTTTAACTTTTGTGTGTTTTTTTTCCTTTGGGCTTGTCCTCAGCATAAGGAAGTGCCAGATCATCCTGGATGGTGCAGTAGGGCCCCTGCTTGTGTTTTTTTTTTTTTGTTTTTTATTTTTTTTTTCTTTCTCTTGTTTTATTTCATTATCTTTTAGGTCAAATAGTAGGCTTTTATTTAAATAAAAATATATCTGTTGAATGCCCTTTTTCTAATAGAAATAACAGGACCTGATACAATCTTGGTTCCCTCTCCCTGAGCACCAGGCTGGCTTTGAAGCAACTGTTGGTACCCCTCACACATTTGGTGTTATAGGCGGCCTCGTTTTTCTTTGATCACTTGCTCGCCTTCATGCTGGAGTGCGTTTTTTCCGTGGCTGTTACATATGGCACCTGTCACTGTAGCTTAGGAGGACTGTAGCTGAAACAGAGCAGAGTAGAAAAGATGAGGCCAGGGCCTTCACGACCATGATACCAATGTTTATAAGCAACAGTTCTCCACCTTCACTGAAGACAAAATAAAAAGAGTGGTGTAGTGTTGCAGCATGAAGGATTGAGGTCAGCTGTGGAGAAGGACTGCCTTCAGTGCACTGCACTTCTGCAGGATTTTTAAAGAGGTAGGCGAGGTGGCCATCTCTAGGCAGAATCCTATGTGTGATCTTTTCGGCTCCACCACAGGCAAAATCCCAGGGCTTTATTGGCAGGACTTGTGGGGGCAGCTGCCCTCCCCACACCAGACGGAGTGCATTGCAGTTTTCTGGAGGGAGTTACAGTCAAGGATTCAGGCCCTCGTGTACTCTATGTCTGTGAGTCTGTTTCTGTTTGATAAATAAGTTCATTTGTACTATTGTTTAGATTCCGCATATAAGTGATACCATATAATGCTTGTCTCTCTGACTTACTTCACTTAATATGACAATCTCCAGGTCCATCGATGTTGCTGCAAATGGCGTTATTTCATTCTTTTTTCATGGCTGAGTAGTTTTCCATTGTATGTATACACCACGTCTTCTTTGTCCAGTCATCTGTTCATGGACACTTTGGGGGCTTCCGTGTAAGTGAATAGTCTTGACTGTTACTTTCAGATCAGCTTGTTGTCCTCATTGAGCCCCTGCTTGTGTTGAAGCAAAGCCCAGCAGCTTTTCTCTCTACCCAGCCCCGTATCTCCACCTCCACCTCATGTCCACTTCTGACAAGAGTGTGGTTGCCTGTGGGAATGAGAAGGAACTGGGAAGCAACTGAGGACAGAGGCCTGTGCTGTTTCAGCGGGGGTTTGGGGGTCTCAGGGCAGGCATGCCTCAGCACGTAAACTTGCACGTACTGGGAGACAGACCCTTTCTCGCCCGAGCCTTTACAGCCACTCAGAAAGACAGACTTAATGCACGTTTGATTTATAATTGAGGACATGTAAACTCGGAGAGAGTAAGTGACTGGCCCAAGATCGCACGTTACTAAATATCAGGGGTGGAACTTAAATCCCATTCTTTTGGCTCCAAATCCATAATGCTTTTCTCTATGCCTCATGACCGACAATTTCTAAAAAGTCCTTTTCTACTCTCGAGTTCCATCATGCCCTCTCAGAGGGCAGGAGGGATGTTCCAGGGCAAAGTTGTTTGAACTACTCCTCTCTTCCATGATGTATTAGCATAAAATTTACTTGTTCAAGACATATTTGTTGATGGTTTGTACTAGGTGCTAGGGAAAAGCAAGCAAGCAGGCAGATAAAAACCACTGCCTTTGTGAAGCTTACAACCCATTGGAAGGAGACAGATAATAAACTAGGCAAATAAAGCACAGCGCCTGCTAGATGCTGATGAATGCAAGGGAGGGAAAATGAAGCAGGAGAGGGAGCTAGAGAGGGTTTTTTTGGGGGGGGAGGAAAGAGCTTCTGTGGTCCTCCACTGAAAGAACATTCCAGGCAGAGGGAAGAGTAAGTGCCAAGGTCCTGTGGTGGAAACATGTCTGAATGTAGGTGCACTAGCAAGGAGGCTGGTGTGGCTGGCAGAGCATGAGCAGGAGAAAGAGCAGTAGGAGGTGATTTCAGAGAGTATCAGGGAGCTCAACCATGTGGAGATTCATAGTCCATGTAGTCTTTGGCTTCTACCCCAAATAAGATGGGATGCATGAGAAAGTCTGTGCAGAAGGACATGGTTTGTTTTGACCCATATTTTAGAACAGATACGAGAAAAGACTAAAGGAGGAGAAAGCAGAAGCAGGGAGACTAATTAGACAGCTATGGCAGCAGTCTAGGAGAAAGATGATGGTTTGGGCCAGGTGGTAAGATTGGGGGTAAGAGCTGGATTCTCAACATATTGATAGAGCAAGTAAGATATACTAACAAATAGGACAAGAGATGAATTACAGCACGAGTGGAGGGAACAGAGAGCACTGGGCAGGAAGTCTGGAATTCTGAGCTGGAGTTGCAGTCCCATCTAACCTTTTCAGTGTTACCCGAGGAAGGTCACGGAAAAGCTTGGCGCCTCATTTTTCATACCTATAAAAATGGGCTTAAATGCCTTCCTGACCTCACAAGGCTCAAATGAATATGATGTCTATGCAAAAGTTCGCTTGCTTACAATTGAATCAGAGCTCTGTTGTGACCCTGAGCAAGTTCATTAGCCTAAGTGACTAAGGTGGGGAGACTGTAGTCCAATCTGGAATGTCTTCAGAACAAGATAGAAAACAAAAAACAAAAATGTGACAATTGTGAGAAATTACTTTAGGAAGCTTTGTTTGTAAAAAGTTGAATCTCCTTCTTGATGAGCTAAGAATAACCATAAAAGAAAGTCCCCAAAAAACTATTTTAACTAGAGCCTCATATCCTCTAGTCATAACATAGATTTTGTACTCTTTCAACTTGTATTTATGAAATATTACCTAGTTGGTGGTTTATAAATTCCCACCCCTCCCCCAAGTCCTCATATTCAGTTTTAGTTCTATTTAAGCACAAAATGCTTCTTTTGCTTTCCCCTGTCTCTGGAATTTTTCTAAATTTTTACTAACAAAAAAACTATGACTGAGTTTTTCTAAGTGACTCAAATGTTTACAACTTTCCCGGCCTTGCTTAAGCATGTGAAGCCCAAGCTGTCTCTTTCCAATTCACAAATTCAGAAAAAGCACTGGTAGTAAAAGGCTCAGGATGAGTGCAGGGGAACTGGTGAGCCCCTCCCAGGGCTGGGGGAGCAGGAGTCACAAGGCAGAGTGGCACTCCATGGGGAGCTGCCTTCTCAGACAGAGCCATGTGCTCTGAGCTACAGCTTCTTCCTCCTCTCTTCATTCTCTATGATCCTCCCAGTCTTTCCCATCAAAACCTACCTATGCAAGGTAACTGATAAGCCATTTAATAAGCCAATTTATATTGAATTATTAGTGTGGAAGAAGGATTAGTCCCCAGGCTCTCTGCACTTTAAGGGGAACTCCCAGAAAAGTAATGGCCTAACTCACATTATGGTGGGACGGTGGGATGTTTAGGGGTTGTGAAGACAGCTGTCTCATAAGGAGTGCCTTTGGGAAAGACTCATGAAATCTCATAAGGTGAGCTCCTTCTCTGCCTATACTTTGAGTGAGCAGTCCTCAATATTGCCCCTGAGACCATTTCAGGTGATCCACGGAGTCAGGACTATTATCGTAATCACATCATTTCCTTGTTCCTCTTTTTCACTCTCATTATCTCACAAGTGTGTGGTGGAGTTAGTCACACAATGTGTGACGTTGTCATCACTCTGATGTCTAATGAAATGCATGCTTGTATGCTTTTTAAAAAAAATTATCAGTTTTAATCTCAAGGATGGTAACTATCAACAGACATAATTCACTTTACAGGAAAGCTCTTTGGGGTCCTCAATAATGTTTTAAGGGTGTAAAGGGGTCCTGAGACCTTTCAATGTTTGAGAACTGCTTCTTAAGTTATCCTGTCTGATCTGGCAGCTGAGATACCAGAAATACAGCAAAACCAGAAGCAGGGTGGTAATGCTTATTAAATTTAAAACTATAAGCCAACTCGTTTGCAAAGGTTGGTATCTAGAAGCAAAATCAAAACAGCACATGTAAGGAAGTGCTCCAAAATTGACCAGGTCGCATCAGAAGGACAGGCACCAACATGAAGGAGCACTCACTGGTCAGATCAAGGACATCTGATATGTGACCTTGTCACACAAATGTCAACAGCATCTTTTGGGAGTAAGAGCTAGAGGGGAGAGGAAGGCTTCACACACAGAGGGAAAAGACATAGATTATCATTAATTTACACATTTTCCACATTTCCCAAGAGAACATCATGCACCAAATATTTAGACACTTTTAATTACTCAGTATATTAATACAAATATACAAAATAATATAGAATTAAATAACATATGAAACACTTACTAAATATATAAATATGCCATTCAAAAGTGAAAACAATTGAAGTTTCAGTTCCTACATCACTGGATAGAGACAAGAAAGCAAAAGATACTGAACAGGTCACTAACTTCATCTTATGACTATTGAAGAGTTCATAACTGTTCTACTAGTTCGAACAATATGTTTACAACAAAGATTTGTACACCCATACATGCTTCCACTGCTCTTGTGAGAAGTTAACTCGTGAAAAAAGAAGCTAGTAGACACAAAGCATTGGAACTGGCTGACTGCTATTCAGGAAACTCCCTAAATGCCTATGTTCATAATATGTTTTCATATTACTAGGCTGAATTTAAAATGACTAAAACAGGTCTGGGTCTTACCGTGAGACAAATGGGACAAGATATGCATGCTTTTTCAAAATATGAGCCGCTGTCTAATACTAACAATAATTAGTCGGCTATAAAAATAGATAAGTAAAGTTAAGGTTGCCAATGTTATTTCACGACAAATCAGTTCCAGTTTCATTGTGGTAAACATCACAGAAGTACATGAAGAATAGCAGTGACACTGAAGCTTCTAGAAAGACCAGTTTTTAGCAAAACAGTAAGCAGGCAGTAGACTACATCCCAAGTGATGAGGAAACAGACTTATGGACCCAAGAAGAGGAAGGGAAGAAGAGACAGAGCATCAGCAGAAAGGCAAAAGGTAGTCTCAGAAAAGTTCTTTGGTCCTTAACCTTCCTGTATTCTTCTCTTTCTTTTTTATTCATTTTTTTCCTGGAATTTCATCAGTTTTTAGAGCTAAATGGCAAATCATCTGGTCCCACCTCTTAATTTTCTGGATGCAAACATGCAAGTTCACTGTGTTAGTGATGAACACAGAGTTGCCACCAGTTGGAGTCAAAGTTGGCCTCTGAGCAGTGGCTCCTGATTCTAAGTCCAGAATCCTTTCAACAGCACGGCACTGCATCGTTTCACAAAGTCAAGTCCTATAACAGACCTGAGAGGTAAAATGACTTCCTCTTGGAACTCACATAAGCTCTGGGTAGCCTAGATGGCAGCAGAAATTCTCAAAATCCTTAGGCTTTGACTCCCACTTCTTTTGCTCTGTTAGGTTCCTTGGAGAATGACCCCCTTTCTCCTGCTATCCTACTGAGTCAGATTCAAGTAGACCAGGGAATAACTTTCAGGGTTCTGTTGACTCTTCTAGGGCTCTGGGTAAAAGAAAGATCAAAATATTAACCTTAAACATTTATAATTTCTACCCTAATGGATTTTAAGACGACAACAGGAGAATCGATAAACACAGAACTCTCCTGCACATCGGCAAAGATGAAGTAGACATTCCTGACCCAAGGTGATATGAGGGTCAGGGTCTCTTTAAAAAAATGTAGGTAATTCTAGGAAATAATGGTTTGCACAATCATTTGAGTCTTGAAGAAGAAGAACATGTTCAAGAATTCCAATGTCCTACACGTGTTTTATTTATCAGATCTTGAGTTCTGTTTGCTGTGGATACTCACTTGCTGGACGCTGGGCTGGGAATGGTCACAAAGTAAACAGATGGCTGTCCGTTCAAGGGCTATTAGCTCTCTAACACTTAAACTGGGAGGATGTGGGCCTCCCTACAAAGCACGTAGACAGTTAAGTAAAAGACCAGGGTTTTAATCTTGGCGCCATGTCTCACTCTCTGTGTAACCTTAGGCCATTCTTCACCAGAACTTGCAAAGCCCTACATGTTTTAATGTTGCTAACGTTTCCAGTATCAGTGATCTGTGGTGAAAGACAGAATAGCTCAGGCAAGAATGCCCAGGCTTGTGGGCCTGTTAGCCATCTACTTCATGACTGGATTTTGCTATGACATTTTGATGTGATGTGTAGCATTGGCACCCATTCAAGGGCAAAATTTTGTAGAAAAGTAGAAGCCTTAGAATGCAAGATCTCTCCCAGCAATTCTAACCTGGGCAGTTCTGTAAAGATTGCTTAACACTTTTCTTATATATCACATTTCTGCTGCTTGGACCTGTGAGGAAACTGGGGTAGGAGTGAGGGTCACCACTCATCTAGCCTTAATCTGGGAAGCATAAGTACAATTATCTAGCAAAGCCAAGATTTTTTTTTTTTGGAAACAAGTATTCTTTGTACCATCCTTCCAACTAATCAACAAATTCACCACCACAAATTGTTTATTGAGAAGCCCTCTTATATGACATAGGACTAAGCTTAGAATAGGAGAAAGCAACACGATTCCACCCAAGATACAGTGTTTGACTAACACTGCCATTGGTACCATTGCGAAGAGTCCACTTAGAGGTTAGGTTATTACGAAGTGAAGTGAAAAAAATAGTTTAAAAAAAAACACTTCTATCTGAAATAGTTAGATACTTGAGGAAAAGTGAAATTTGGAATATATGTTTCACATGATTGTCTAAATCTTCTATTGCTTTCCAATTCAGCCTTGACCCAATCAAACAAAAGAAAACTGCTACTCAAAGATTTCTACAAATTAGTTAATTGTCTGCAAATATCTGCCCCAAAGTGAAGGTTTTGTTTCTGAGAAGCTTATAATCACTGGTGGGTTGACTCATGAGAAATAAAAGATTATTGTCAACCTCAAATTGAACTTCATTGGAGTATGTATGGAAGGGGCAAAGGTATGCTATCAACTGGGTTTTAACAGAAAGAACTATCATGAAATGGTGGGAAATCTCCCTAGGAAATTTTAGTCTCTTCCCACTTTCTATTTCAGTAATAAAGGACTGATTCATGAAAGAAAAAAATGTTCTTTGAAAACCTATCTAATGTTGTATTATTATAGTCTCATGGGAAGTAACTGTGATGATCCCCCCAGGAATGGTGCAAAGAGAAATTGGCCCTGTCTCATCACACCTTCCTCCAGAGTGCAGCTTTACAGTTGAAAAACCCAACATCATACTCTCTGATATTACACAGCATCACAAGCAAGGTGCAGGGAGTCGGACTTCTCCATGAGGGTAACATCCATCGTTAGAGATTACCCTTCTGCCCACAAACTATGAATCTGCTTATGTTTTAGTGAGCAATGAATAAGTGATTTTAAGCTAAAACAAACTTTGTTATGGTCATTTATTTTTTAAAAAGGTGAACCTTACTTAACAGACTTCTGTTACTTACCAGATGCGTCTTACCACTGGGCAGCTCCATGGAGATGACTTTTTGTCTACTCATACTCAGTAAGCTCAAGAACTAATCCATTTCTCCTCTACTCTTTCTCTCCCCACGAACCCTGAAAACACACACACACACACACACACACACACACTCAGGTCCCCCTCTCCACTTCTGTTTCTGTTTCCCATTTTTCAGGTCACCAGGTCCAAAATCTTAGAGTCATTTTTGACTAATCATGTTTCCCTGCCCATCCAAAAGTTTTCTGTTTCAGAAGATAATAGAAAGAAAAAGAGAGAGAGAAATAAAGTAAGAGTAAGTAGAGATGAAAGGTAAATGTGGTAGGACTATTTGCTTTCATCACAAATTGACAATCAGAATGCGATACTTGAAGAAATAAAAAAAAATGACAGCGTCTTTGATGATTTTCTTCCTTTTTTCCCAACTTTTCATATAACTTAAGTTTTTGTCTTAACAAACCAGTATTTCCCCAACCTTGAGGTTTTAAGTCTCCAGCATAATTGACACAGGATTTTACTAGTTTTTAAGTAAGTGGGACCAAATAATCTGGTTGTTAAAACTTGTGAAACCAGACAAAAAAAAATCTAGTCACTCAAAATTTGTTACTGCACGTTCAGTGTAATTAACTGAATTGGCCGTATGTCATGAAAACAGTCAGTAAATGGCGATCCCAGCACTTACAAGATTCATACAGATTTGGATGTTTACTTCATAAATGAGAAAAAGCCTGGCAACAGAGAGAAGCTGAATCTTCACTTCAGGAACTGAATAAGGCGGTGAACAATTAGATTTCCCAGAAAATACAAGACTTAATGAACAAAGGACAGTCATTTTGCAAACGCCCCTTTCTAGTGAAATTTACCTTGAGCTTGAATAGATTGTATTGTAAGACTCTTATCCAAAAGGGACTTTTTAAAATGAACACTTTATACTTTTCTGCCTGCACTTTACAAAAGAATACAGAAAAGTCAGCAAGCACTAACAATAGTGCCTTTCAAGTCAGGAAACCATAACTGAAAGAATATTCCAGCAGAAATCAGGAGACCAGGATTCTAGTACCAGGCCTGCTGCTAACTGTGACCTCAGGGAAGAAGGTCAACTTCAGTTCCTAACTGGAAAAGTGAAATGTTTGGAAAAAGTAGAATCCAATGGCCCCTGCCTTTGTCATTTTGCAGAGCGCTCATGGGTTCCATGGGTTTATGTTTAGGTGCAATAAGATGATCTGATGTGCAGTCTCCTGTCCCAGATAGAGCAAATCCCTGTGTCTACTTTTGCAAAAGAGTCATTGACACCAGTGATGTGTTGCTTTTCTGATAAAATCACAAGAATTAATCTGGTGTTTATGTAAGGTTTATGCAAAATTAAGTGTTCAAAAAGCCTAGAGCATGAAAGATATTCATCTATGAGACAAAATGAAAACGCAAAAAAGGTAGCGTTTGAGTGAGATTTTTTTTTAATAGAAATGTAAAATAACACTCAAAGCCAGCAGTTTTTCTTCCCCCTCTCTCAGGCATCTGAGATGCAGAAAACTCCCCCATCACCACTTCGTCCTAGGAAAGTCCCATTACCTACAACAGAAACTGCAGCTCTGCATTAGCTTTAATAAATTATGTGCCATCTTCAGAAGCCAAGGAAATTTAATTCTCTCCCTCTAGCTGACCTTTCTGGGTTTATAGCGTCTCTTGTTTTAGGATGTCTCACAATGTTTTAGACTCAGCACCTATGAGGTTACTGAATTTACAATACAAAAAGGAAATTGAAAAAAAATCACTTTGCAAATGTATCCTTTCATTCATTCACTCACTTTTTAAATGAACATCTACTGAGGACCTGGTACACATAAGACACCATGCTGGATGTTGTAGGGCATGGAGAGAAATGAACGGTGCAGAAGTGGAGAATGATATGTCACAGTCATCATGAGTATGAATCACCTGTGTGTTGTCTATAGCGTCTGAGACATAATGAGCGTGTGACACAGAAAGCACTACATAATAGTGGTCACATTGGACGTATTCAGGGGAGCTGACCTGTAGGATGCTGTAAAAAGAGAAGAGATTGTCCAGGGTAGGAAGAACACAGCGTGGGCACCAAGACTTCTCTGGCTTTGCCATCAGACGATTCCATAGTGACAGAATAAATATTTTCCACATTTCCTCTCCTCAACCCTGACTCTCAATTTACAAAATAATTAGCCTTTAAACAATCTTCACAAATGAAAAGCAGAAATGTTTCAGGTCCAAATGCAAGAAAATGGTCCCAAAGTGTTTCAAAATAACATCAACATGTATGTATTTTGGAAACATCAAACCAAATCCTCTTACTTATATCTTCGTGTGACCCCCCAATTGTCGTGAACAATGATTTCTTTTCGCCTTTGTACTTCCCTTAGGGACTCACCTCGGTCTTGGTTCCGACGGCGTTTCCAGTACAGTAGAATTGAGATTAAGACCAGAAGAATTACCAGGGAAACAATACTTAACAACAGTGGAACTGAAAACCAAAAGCCTGTGGATATTGAAGGGAGAAAAGGAAAAACAAGGTCATAAGTGGAAGCCGTTGAGGTAAAAAGTGATAAAGCCATACTTGTGATGAGTTTTTATTAGAGTTGAGATTCTGATGAAGATTATTCTTAGATATATACAAACTGAGGTCTTAATTCATGAGCTCATATTATGTTCATAACATTTAGATACTAATAATCGCTAACATGTTTAATGTGGTTACTATGTAATAAGAGCTTTGAATATGTCATCTCATTTAATCCTCAAAATAGCCCATGAGTTAGGTATTACTACCATCATTAAACAGATTAAAAAATAAAAACCAAAAAACCCCCAAGGCTCAGAGAAATTAAGTTCGCCCAAAATCAATGCCATAAGTGGTAGCACAAGGCTTGGTCAGAGGTCTGTTTGCCTCCAAAGCACATATTCTTTGCCATACTGTCCATTAAAGGACTGTGTTTATTGAGGGAGTTTTAGAAAATACACAGAAATATAAAGGGAAAAAAGTCATGAATCTCGTGATTCCAATGCCCTAGGAATAACTCATCTCAATGTTTTTATTCTATTCCCTCTCGTCTATGTCCTTGTTATCATATCTCTTCCCAATAGTCCATAAACGCAACTTAGCCTGGATCTCAGCTCCTCGGTGTCCCTGTGTAATACAAAGGCAGGTGCTCACTCCCTGACTCGGGCGCCTCCCACACCTTCTCCATACCTTTTTAATGAGATTTATCACATCATAATTTAACTGAGCGTCTTCAGATTTGCGTAACTTCAGTAGTTCTAGTGCTTGATATAATGCTTTAAGCATGGAAGATTTTTTAGTAAATTGTGGTCACAGGATGAACAAACATTACATGAGTGATGTATAAGCATTACAAATAAGCCAATTTGGGCATTCTTGGAAGAGGAAGACATGTTCCCTTTCAGGTTCTTGTTTTTCAGGGAAATTTACCCTTCACTTTGGCTGAATCTGAGGATCTTTCCACGAATGTCCAAATCTAATGCCTCTTGACCCATTTTGACAAAATGTTGACTTTTTGACTAGTTAGTTTTCAAGGACCCCAGAAATGACTATAGGAGATGTTCCTTGGAGGCCGCCATGCCAACAAGGCACAGGCTTTTCCAGATTTTTATTGTTCACAATGCCTCTCCGAAAAAGCAGCAGTATCTTTTTAGGAGGCTTATTCCTGAGTGCCTCAGCGGAAGTTAGTGCTTAAAACTACCCAGAGAAAGAAAACTGGGATTGTTATCGCTAAAGGGTCTCATTTCTAAAACCACTGCTCCCTTTATTCTCTCTCCCATAGTCTTCACCTCCTGAATCGATGAGACCCTGAGATAGCAGTTTAGATAGAAACACAGGCGAGCAAAAGGGGTCTTGAACAGGAGGCAGTTTACTTTTAAATGGGGTGAGGAAAACACCTCCAATCAGCCTTCTTCCCAAAAGCTCTGTTGCCCCCTTCCCACAGTGTAGACTGTGCAGGGGTTTCATCACAGATGTCGCTTCCTCCAGGAAGACACCCTGATCCCTCCAGACTGAGCTGATGCCCCTGCTTCCCACCCTCAGTCCTCCCAAGGTGTAGCACAGCTTTCTTACTGAAGCATGTGACATGCAGTTTTTCAACTGCCCAGCCCCTCCTCTGCATTCCCTAGTGGACTAGAAGCTCTCTCTGTCACATTTCTGGCATAACAAATGCTCAGTAGGTGGCACAGAAGACACAATCAACAGCTGGATCTCAGCAAAAACATTTGGTAAGTGGGCAGCATCCCACATTCACCAAACTAAAACCAGCATCATTGGCTTCCTCGACTGTTTTTCTTTGCCTACTTACCCCATTCTGTCTCTTATCAGCTCCTTTGCTAAGAGGCTGAGAGGCTCTGCAGAGCATTCAGCGCCTTCCACGCGTGTGTCTGCAGATGTGACCACCGCCATCTCGGCCCACTCTCTCTTACCTTTGTTCACCGTTTCCCTGTAGTTGGTCACAGTCCCCAGGTACAGCACCTGGCAGATCACCTCCTTCCCCACCTGACTCTTGGGGTCTTTGACCTGGAGGATGCTGGTGACAGATGTTGTCCCATTGGGGTGTGAGAGAATCTCAGTACTGTTCTCAATCCCCGACCCAGAGACCTTCCAGGAGATCACAGGGGCTGGGCGAGCATTGGCAGAGCAAGTGATATTTAGGTGGTCTTCAGAGAATTTGTAGTGAAGGAAAACTGTGGGCTGTACTGGGACAAAAAAAAAACAATGACCTGCCATCAGGTAAACATCTAGTCAGAGGCCCACACTCTCCCCAGGGATGAAAGAAAGATCTTTACAGAAAGACAGTGGGGGCTAGAAACATAAGGTGGCACCTCTGATCCAAACTGGGGCCTTCTCAGTTCCTTCTGTATCTAATTCTCTGACCTGCAGGATAGAGACTGACCTAGTACAACCTTGTGACAAGAAAGATCCTCTGTGTAGTTTGTCTCTAGGAGATTTAGCTGCACGGACAGAGGGTACCCTTCCCCCTCCCTCCCCGAGCCTCAGTATGCTTTTCTCTTTTCCTTGAGCAACGCAACATCTCCGCCTTCTTCTGGGTATCCCCTTCAAAGAGTTTGACAATGACCACCAGTCAGCACCTCCATCCACGTAGCCTGCACTTCTCAGAAGCACCAGGGCAGTTTCAGAACAGAGAGCCTATAGAGGGGCTGCCACTTAGGGACGGCCTTCTGCTTGGAACTGGGCTAGTGAATGACATGTATGGAGCAGACTTGGAAAGCCCCAGTTTGAAGTATCTATACAAAATGTAACTTAGGAATTCACAGCCAATAGTCAGAAAAAAATCACAGAATGACAGTTGTAAGGACCTTGGAGATCACCTTCTGGAGTTAAGAGAAAATTAACTAGCTTATGAAAACAGAAGGTTATTTTTAGGTCAGCTGTACCCCATTCCCTTTCAAAAGTCCCTTGACTAATGAGTTCATTTTCCTTGTAATATACAGCTTATCTCTCCTGGGGAAATGCAAACTTGCCTTTCTGTGGTTGGCTTTGGAGCCCACAAGATGATTAAAGGATAGTGCTAAATAAAAATCTGTCTGACTTAGAGGGTCAAGGAGTGGGTGGGTGGCAGTAGGCTGGAGGAAATGGGCCCTATAGGAATGTGGCTCTGTCCAGAATGTACACATTACTAACATCAGTGAGCCCTGGAGGAAGTGAGATAAAATGAAGGAAGACGAGTATGGTGGCATGGCCAGATTGGCTGGCAGGGCTCTCTAGTATATCAAAGAATGACTTAGATGAAAGCTATAAGGTGTGGCTGGAAAGGGTCAGTGTGGAAAAGAACTACAGGATTACCAGCTAGAAGACTCAGAGGCATCTGCTTTTCAAGCAAAAAATATAATAAAAAGATTAAGAGTAAAGAAGGGGGGAATGGAAGAAAGAGAAAGATGAGCAAAGAAGAGAAAGAAAAGAAAAAGAAACAGAAATGATAAAACTATGACAAAAGAAGGGAAAGGAAGAAAAAGGAGACAGGAAGAAGAAAGGAAGGAAAAGAAGATGGAAGGAAAGGAGAGAGAGAAGAAAAAGGGGGGCAAAGGAATAAAAGGAAAGGGAAGAGGGAGGGGGGATTGGAGGTGGGGAGAGAGACAGATGGGGACAGAGAGGATGAAAGAAGTGGAAATCAACAAGAAAGCCTGATGCAAGATCCTGCAGAGAGGACTCACTATGAGCAAAATATTCGGCGGCGTCCTTCTCCTTGCGTTCCTATTTACTGAGTTTCCTCCTATCCTCTGTTCAGTATTCTTGCTGTGCTCAAACTCTCACTTTAACATTCCTAATAAGCCTGCCTGTTTCTCTTCCCTTCGAAGACCATCAACAAGTGTGCCATGCTCCAATGTTACCCCTTATTTCTACTTCTCAATTCTTGATCTCAGCTAAGCATCAGTTAAGACGAAAGGAACCTTGTCAAACTAAGCCTTTTGGATTTTAAAAGAATGCTTATTATTCAGTTAAATCCCCAGTAGGCATCAGGTATGAAAAGCCTCATATCCCCTTATCAGTCCTGAGAAAGTGAGCCTGAAACAAAATGAGAGGGATGCCCATAACCAGCTCCAGGTGAGCCCAATCTAGCTTTGTCCTTAGATCTAAAAATATTAAAGCTGTTAGAGACCCAAGAGATGATCTATTTCACACTTACAGTGCAGATAAATAAACTGTGGTACAGAGAGTAGACAGGACCCTTCTAGGGGCACGTGATTGCTAATGGCAAAGCCAGGTCTGAACCATGTAACTGCTTACAAAGAACTTGTCCTCATTATGGTCCTTAACTTACTCTTGTTGACAACAGGATTCTTTAGGGCAAAGATAACTCTAACCAGAGATTCAATATATCATGTAACCGTGAACTCTCCAAATAACCATAACCACAATTACAGTAGACGTGGAAGCCAAGTGTTCTCCCATGAGCCTCTGGGATTAGGAGCCTGAAAAACTAGGCACTACCACTATGTTCCAGTCATTCTTGAAAGTAACATTTCTAGCCAAAGACAATGTATTCAGAGATTCTCACCAGAGAGGGTGAGGCAGGCTACTCCTGAGATCTTCCCAGAACCAAAGGTATTGAAGAGGCACTTGTAACACCCCTCATCCTCCAAGGTGGTATTCCAGAAGGTAATGGTTGAGTTCATGAGTCCCAGCTGGGTGATGTTTATCTTGTCCTTATAGGCAGGCTGGACTACAACCCCATGGTTCTCGCTGAAGGTGATCATGTTTTCCGGACTTACAGCCTTGATTTTTTGCCATGTCACAATCAAGACTTCTTGGGGATTTTGCAGAGAGCAGCTTAAAGAAGCAGGTGTGTTCAGCGGCTCTCTTACATCCTGGGTCACCACTTTCATCATGGAATCATAAAAGAACATTATACTTTAAATTTTAATACATACACAAATATACACATTTTCTGATTTAAAAAAACGCATGCTGAAAGTTAAAAAAATGCAAAGAAAGAGAAAACATTTACCTACATTCTTGATGTTGCTAAAGAAATATAAGCTCAAATATATTTGTTCAGTCCTTAAGAGTAGAAAAACAAGAAAGCAAATTCCCAGTGACCAGAAATTGCATGAAGAATCCTTATAAGCCGAAAAGTAGGTGAAGTGAGGTTGAAGATGGCAACTGCCAGATAGGACAGAAGCATCACCAAGTGTGCTTACTTGAGAGGTATAAGCTAGGAACGAGAAAGGGTCAATGGGCAATAGGCAGAGTGATTAGCTTATGTGAAGAAGGCATATATGCCTTAACCATTCCCTGCACACACTCTGCAAAGGAAGGGGCAGCAATAGTGATGGCTGCCTTCAGGAAGCAGTGGTGAAGGCAGGAACATAAGACAGAGAGATACACAGGACAGTGCTCCAGGAGGCTGACTGTACCAGAGAGCTTTGACAACCAAATGACAATCTACACATTCTCCCATTTTTACTGAATGCAGTGCAGAATATAAGGTATGGCAGTAATTTCTTCTCTCTCCAATACTGGCTATTCATGTTGATATGATAGATGACTCAATGGGAAATCTCAATATAATAACAAATAGCCAAACATTCGAGAAAGCTAACAGAATGATAGAAGAGTAATAAACTTTACAAACCCAAGAACTCATACCAGATGAATAAAGATACCATAAATCAAAAAACACTTTGACATGAATAAACGTGGTATCTTAAGTGCGAAAAGGAAGCAGCACTATAAATAGTAGAAACTGGAGATATAGAAATGAGAAATATAAAATCTTAACAGATTGGCTGACTTAGCAGAGTGGATATCACTGAAGAGTAAATTAGTAAGTAGGAAGATCAGGTCATGGAATTCTTTCAGAAAGTAGCACAAAGGGATAAAGATATAAAAGGTATTAGAGAGAAATTGAAAGACTGCACTATTTCAGTATCAGTCCAGTAGGACTTTTAAAAGGAAAAACAAAGGGAGACCAGAAGTCAAAAACACTGTAAGGGACAAAAATGTAGTTTTCAAAATGATAAAAGGAGGAATCTAAAATAAGATATATTAATCATGAACCTTCATGCACCTACAAACACAACTGAAATATATAAAAATCTAATAGAACTACAAAGAAAAATATATAAATCTACAATCATAATGGGAGAGTTTTTCACAGTTCTCTCAGATTTTCACTTCTATATATTAAAAAAGAAAAGCAATAAGATCAAATATAAGGATATAGAAGATTTGAAAAACAAACATATATATGCAAATTATTATATATGTATGTGTATAATAGCATGTATTCATAAATTTTACCCAAAAGAAAACAGTCTGTTCAAGCAACACGTGGAACATATCCCAAAACCGAATTTAGTGAACAAAAAATGAACTTGAACACTGTCCGTAGTGCAATAACATTATAAATTTACATAATTCTTTTCACTCTTTAATTATACCAGAAATCATAGCAAGAACTATGAGTTACTATGAATGACAATGAGAATATCCTATATTAAAATCTGCAGAAACTGATATAGCAGTTCTCAGAGGGAAATATTTAATCCTAACTTAATTTATTAAGAAAGATTGAAAAATTAGTACACACATATATCCAAAATTCCCACCCCCCAAAAAATAATAAAAGGAGTTAGTTAATAAAGTTAAAAGTGTAAATTAATAAAATGGTACACAAAATGTAGACTTAATCAAAAACACCAAAATCTGTTTTTTCTAATGCTAATGATACAGATAAAATGGCTAGAGTAATCAGGGAAAAAGGAGGCAGCCCAACAACATCCTCTCAACAACCCTGAACATCAGGAATGAACAGATGGGCACAGCAACATGCACAAATCAGGACCCCGGGGTGTCGCATAAGTCTGGTTTTAGTGAGGGGTACACTTAGTAGACCTGAAAAATTTCAGGGCAACACCTGTTGTTAGGACCAGCGTTTCCTAAACATTGGTTGAGATGTTGCAGAGCAGAGATGTGAAGAAATTGCTGCTTTTAGAATGGAGAGGAGAAAAGGGTATCAAAGCTAGAGTTTTAACATCTTGGGTGATTTTCCTCTTTGACTATGGAAGAAATAATTTAGTGGAAAGTTTACAATTCTTTGCTGCTTGTATGAAATTCCATTTAGAGTCCCCCAGTCGGTAAATCCTGCTCTGTAGATGGTGTGACGCTTCCCCTGCCCACAACGTGAAGGCTGATGGAGAGCAACAGCACACAGGAGATAAAAGCCCCGCAGCACTTCCTTCCGTGTAGCACAGGGAACTACAGTCAACACCCTGTGACAACCTTTAATGAAAAGGAATATACGTATGTATATGCATGCCTGGGGCATTATGGGGTACACCAGAAATCGACACATTGTAACTGACTATATTTCAATTAAAAAAAACCAAACAGGCCAGCAGCAAGGTGAGGGGTGGTGTCTTATGGAATCACGGAGAAAGGTCTAACACAAGTAGGAAACTCAGCAGATAAGTGGGCGGTGCAGGTGTATGGGTTAGGCAATAGACTATGTGAACCTATGTAACCTCCCTATTTCATTATTTTTAATATTTTTCTGTAATAGAGGGACACACCCAATTTTAAGTCTTATTGCTAAATTACCTTCCAAAAAGGCCCTATTCACTCATACTCCCCCAAGTATTCCCAATTCTTTACAAACATAGTGAATTATTATTTTAATCATTATTCAATTTGATAGATGAAAAATTAATCTTAATTTAGAAAGAATTTTTACATCTTTTTTGTCTATGAAAACAGTTTCTAAATATCAAAGTCTTTGAAAACAAAAATGTGGAAAGCAGAAAGAACCACTCCCACTCTTCCAAACGAATCACACATTGAAATAATCCACGCAGACAGACGAAACAGCACGGCACAAACAATAGTGCCCAAATGGCTCCACTCTAGAAATTGTGTTTCCTGGATTCCGAGCAGGGCAATGGAGTATCTTTACCTTGTGCCTCGCATAGCATCAGAGCTGACAAGAACCAGATCAGATTGCAGGTGAACAGATGACAGAAGAGCCTCCTGAACACCTGAAGACAGAAAGCAAAGGACAGAAATGGGCATTTGGATGAAGACAAGGCTAAGGAAGCTTTGATCTGATTGCTATCTCAGGGAGTGTTGCAGCTACAGTTTAACCACTCGAAACCTTTGGTTTTGTGGCAGAAAAGCAGCAGCGTGTCTCTCATCATGGTGGTCCCTAGCGATGGGAGGCCTTGGCGTCACGGCAAGGGAACAGTGAAACAGAAAACACAGGAAAGCAAGGCACAGATGCTTTCTGCCCTTGAATTTCAACCAAGTCCTATTACCATCCTCCTGAATTCCCCATTCCTGGGGACCAGGCACAGAGCATCCTTTTCAGGACACAAACTGGTGTCTTAGCATAGACACTAGTCAGTCCCTCTTTGCTCCCCCAGCCTAGGGTCAGAAAAGCTGCCACCTCCATCACCTTGTATTCTTCCCATCAACTCCTTCTGGGATGAACCTTTATCCTTGGTCTTTCAGCATTTAGGCTTTTAAAACTCAAATACTTAGGCTCTCGCTATTTAACAACTTTGGCTTCTGAAACTAAAACGTTTTCTCTGGCATTCTAATCCCATATCAATTTGTTTTAAACCATCATGCCACATGGAAATCCAGGCTTTAGCAAAGGCTGTGATGAGGAATGCAGAATAGTTTGTCTCTCAGCGTGAAAAATCTGAGGTTTAGGATAGGAGAGAAAGCCAAAACACAAGATGTGTGAACTGGGAGCCAGCAGTGGTTAAGAAGCAGAAGCACAGTGACTGAGGCAAAGGGAATTAGAAGGAAAGGCCTGCTATTAAATGTACACATATTTCTGCTGGCAGACTTGAGTTCAGGCGAGCACAAAGGCTAGCTGCGTAAGCTGGGGCAGACCATTTTACATTTCTGAGATGCAGAAAAAATATTCCCAACCTTCTTTCTGTAAAAAAGACTAAATGAGGTCATATATGTAAAGCTTTTGGAACAGAGACTGATAGAAGTAAGTACTAAATCAATGTTGCTGTTATCTCATTGGGTTAC